TCTAAGCTAATTATGATTTTTTTAGTAAAATAAGTCCAGATTTAACATTAACTCAAAAAAAAATTTTTTTAGAGTTTCCTCCTTTTCTATTGCAAAGCTCCCATATTTCATTGTTATTAATATAAATTATAAAAAAATGCTATTCTAATATTAATAAAAAAATATTAAAAGTTATAAAGTCATTGTAATAAAATATAATAGAAACTATTGTTATAGAAAAAATGACCTAATAAAAACCATTGTTTATCATGATAAAACGTCTATTATTGAAATTTTTGTAATAAACTATTATAATAAAACAATATGAAACACCATAATCATGCATCTTAGAAATTTGAATTTGAACAAGAGTTCATTAAATTGAGATATTACCTTACCAAGAAGCAAGGTGTTTCCATTTTCTGAAAAAAATATTTTTTTTGCAGGATATTTATAAACATTACTATGTAAGCGTATTAATTCATAGTGAATGACAATAATCGATTATATCTAATAAGAAGCAGAGTAATAAATAAATTTTTTTTTGACTGATATCTTCAACTTTTAATTATGAAAATTGGGTTGTCCAGTTATATAAGCAATAATTCTATAATGTTTTTCAAGCGATAATAATATATGAAGATTTTTTAATATCAGCTAAACAATTAATCATTCCACTGCTTATTTTCAGTTGATTCTACCTTTCAAAAAAAAACCAAACATAAGGAGTATACTAGTATATAATTTTGTATAATAATTTTACGCCTAATATAATAAATTCATGTTAAATAAAGTTATAAATTCTTTATTGATATAAGTAATAAATAGATACCTGTTTTACAACTGTAAGTTGCTAGCAATATTTCTGCTGTTTCAGGATGGAACTGCTATGTTTCTCATCATATTATCTAGGAATTTAGTCCTTTCTGTATCTCTTTCTACATAATTAACAATTATTGCATTTATAACCAATCTACGTAAATGCAGCATCGTGTTTTGAGACTGTAATTCGAATATATTAGTTGCATTTAGCTATCTATGTAAGGCGCTTTTTGTTTCAGCTTCATTTACAAATGAGACAATTTCTTTTTGCGAAGAATGAGTTGTATACGAAATTCCTTCATTATAAACAAAATAAATTACGTAAAAATGGCTAGAATAATTAAATTGATGGAATTAAAATGAAAGAATAGCTTACTCAGCCCTTCTTTCTTTGAGTATATGAACCTTTTTCTCAATAATGTCAAGAAATTTATTGCAAAAATCTCCAAAGTTTCTATTAGCTGCTCGCAACCAGTCAACGCCTTTAGCCGAATTTAAATCACATCTGAAAATTTGCTAGACCAATTCTTCAAAAGCGTTCTTTTCAGAGTTTCAAGATTGGAGAAACAAACACTTCAGTTCTTCAAGAAAATCGCGACTAGCTTTAATCTGTATATGATTTATTTGGCAGTTAGTAATAAAATAAATAATAAAATAAAATTATCGTTAAATCATACTTTGTCTTCTTGTACATGTGATGCAGAAGTTGCTGACATTGATGAATTACAATTTGGCCAAATAAAGTTAAATTCATTCATAACTGATGCTTTTATAAATATATACATATTGTAAGCTAGTAATAAGACATCAGGATTATTACATAGCCATGAGCAAATTTGGTGAACGTTATCCATTCCATGAAAAGGTGTAAAATCTATATTATTTGATTAAAAAGATGTATAATTCGAATGAAACTCATCATTATTAAAAGCGTCAAATGTCGGACGAATATCAGTATTATCATTTAAAGAAGTATTCGAACAAAACACATTAGAAGTATTTGATCGAAAAACATTATCATTAAAATTTGTATTATTAGAGTGAGATGTAAATGAACGCGCATTAGTTGAATGCAACGTATATAGTGTAGATAGATGCACATTATGTGTTATAGATGAATGCGTATTAGTCGAACATGGTGAACGTGGTGTTAGGGTAGATGGACATGTATTAGTTGAACGTGATGATAAATGTGGTGTAGTATAACAAGATGTATTAATTAAATATGAATTATAATTTAAAGTTCTATCAGTTGCTTCGTTTGAATTATTTAATGAGTTATTACGAAGCTTGTTAATATGCATGTTGTTTGCAATCAGTGCAAGAGGTTTATGTTTGATACTTATAACATCTAATAAATGAAAAGCAAATAAATTAATAAATGATAAACAATAATAAGCATAGTTTTAAGTTGTTACATACTTTCTTTACCTTCTGAAAGATAGCCATCGCCTGTTTCTAAAAGTTCCCTAACTGAAATGGTTGATCTTTCAGCAGGTAATTTATCATTTTTTTCATCATCACCTTCGTTATCATCATCATTTTCAATATCATCATAATCTATAACAACGTCATCATTTTCATTGTCATTGCTATATATGAAGTCGAAATGAAAACCCAAAAGTCATAATGTTTCGACTTTGGAGGTCAAAGTCAAAATGAAAAGTCGAAATAGTCAAAATTACATTATATCACATGATTTTTTATATATAGAAAAAAAAAAAAACAAAAAATGTACGATCTCGGTCAATATCGTACTGATTCGTATGAAACAACTACCATTCGATTCCTTGCGACTAGACGAATCCAATGAGCTAACATTCATTGATTTTGGATTATCCCATCTCGCGATATTTGCGATTGTATTTCGAAATCTGGACTCCTTTATTTAAAGTAGAATTTATTGATTTATAATTACGGCCGATAATACAATTGCGAGTATCTCGTGATTGGATGATCCGAAATCAATGAATGTTAGCTCATTGGATCCGCCT